ATGGGACAATCCCTAAGGTCCCTTCCAATCCCAAATCATTTCATGGTCAGTTTTAGGGGATCCCAGGCTCTCCCACTCCTCCTCATTCCAGGGGCATTTCCAGCCCAAGCTCCATGAGAGCAGATCCCTTTTTCCAGAACCATCTCTGTGACTTCTGTTTGACTTTGGGGGCACCTGAGAACCCCCGTGACAGGGAGAGGATTATTTGATAATTTAATACATTTTTTATAGAGCTCCAGCTCCAGATKAAAATTCCCTTTGCCCTCCCAGATCTGTCAGTAGCCACGGATTTCATTTCCCCCAGTTCAATCACCACCTGTGGAGTGATGGGATCCCTCAGGAAGTTTTCTYGGGAAGGTGACAAAGGACATTTCCCAGCACAGGCCCTTGCAGCTCCCTTGAAATTGTATTCCTGGGAGTCTTTTTTTTTCTAAAATTTAAATCGATTTAATTAAATAATTAAATTTATTTAACATTAAAAAAGCCTTAATATTATTTTTTTTAAAAAAAAATATTTAATTAAATAGATCCAATTAAATAAATTTCATTAAATAGATAAACTAAATTAAATAGATTTAATTAAACAAATTCATAAATTAGATAGATTTAAATTGTTGTTTTGAGGGAACAAATGCTGAAATAAGGATGGGGAGCAGCAAATGCACTTTTTTCTCTCAACAAATTTTCCTTTTTCCTAAGGAAAGTTGCTGSTGCTTTGCCCTGGTGCAGGAATGGATGAAGGATGCTGGACGTGTTTCTGTCCAGATCTTTGTTTTTGATGTGGGAACCCCTCAAAATCAGGGTTGTGCAAACCGTCCCTTTTGGAGCTCCCTGAACAAGAGAAGAAACAATTCAGAGAGCGATTCAGGGAGGAATAATCCCGAATTAATTCAGCGTTTCAGGATCATTGCGTGCCCCGGGCTGGGCTCAGCCCCTGGGACAGGAGTGGACCCGTCCCAAGGGTGTCCCCCCACCCCACAGCGAGGTCCCCAAAGGGCTGGGCCGGTCCCTTTGGGGTGGGACCCTCAGTGCACCCCAAACCCCAACAAGGGACCCCGGATCGAGGTTTCCTGGGTCACCCCACAGGGGATGAGCTTCCAGGAAAACCCTGCCCAGGGGGGCATTGACATCCAGAAATGGTCCAGACCCCTAAAATTGGGGGGTGCRTTTGCAGCAGCTCTGACAGGACCCAAAGCCTCCCTCGGCAGTGATGCAGTAAAGGCACCGGAGCTGCGGGCATTTACTGGGAAAAGATCTGCACTGAAAGGCAGTTTAGATTGGAAAAAYCCCGAAGTTAAATGAAAAACGTGCTGATAGCTGCAAGGGGCTGGGTGGGGATGCTCCCGACCCCCAGAGTGAGATTTAATGGGATTCCCGTCCTGCAGAGGAGTTGGGAGCGCTCAGCACAGGATTGGGGATGGGGAGCTGAGATTTGGGGATGGGATTTTTGGGTGGGTCAGCCCCAGTCAGCGCTCGCTGCTTTGGTGACCTGACATGGGAAATTTGGGTCAGCAGTGACCAGAGCTGGGGTTTATCATTCCCAGGGGATGAGGGAAGCTCCAAACTCAGCTCCACTCCTGGCACAGGRTGCCCAGAGAAGCTGTGGCTGCTCCTGGATCCCTKKSAGTGCMCAAGGCCAGGCTRGACATTG